CACTACCCCAGGCCTCCCTGGCCTCCAGGTTATTTTGCAGGGCCCAGCCCTACAGGGCCACCCACTTTTCCAGGGGGGTGGGGAAACAACACTCATGAGCTGTTGGTAGGAGGGTAAGTGGGTAAAACTTTTATCAAGGGCAATGTGACAATCTCTCTCTCTCTCTCTCTCTCTCTCTCTGATCTATCATCCATCTATCCATCTACCTTATCTATCTATCTTTCTATTTACCTATCTATCAAGCATCTATCTATCATCTACCTGTATTTATCTATCATCTATCTCAAAATTTAAAAGGCAGTGCACCTAAAACACATACAATATTACGTATTGGTTATATCTCAGTAAAAAAATACACCTTTGACATCAAAAGAGGGAATCAAAAATCCCTGTGTACCTGTTATAAAATCTAAATAAGTTATCTCAGTTCCAATGAGTTCAGATAGAGTTATGTCATTTTCAAAATTACTTATAAGAAAAGGCTTTTTATTTCTATTTAAGTAATTTCTGATACTACGTATTATTGTCTACAGGGAGGCACACACAGGTTTTTGACTTGGACTGTATTTAGTTGTGGCGATTTTCTTTTTAGTATTAACCTCTTAACCATCAAGATTAGCATCGAAAAGTTAAATATAGAAAAAGGAGAATTTAAAGTATTTTAGTTTCCCTTCAAATATTTACTTCCGCAGAAGTAGGCCTTTTCTCCTCCATCATTTTTGCTGAAGGTAGAAAAATATATTTTGTTCTTCGCTGTTGAAGGCTGCTTTTTTAGAGAGAAACAAACGTAAAAGCATGAGGACTGCCACCTCAGGCCAGCCCAGGAAACAATGTTGAACTCAAATCTTCCTCCGACTATTTCAGCAGAGACTCCTGTCTAGCTTTCCTGAAAGAAGAAAAGAAAAAAAGCACTGCCCTTTGACCCAGCATTTCAACTTTGGGAAATTATCTTAGGCATATACTTGCATATGTGTAAATTAGCACATTTTATCAATTGTAGTATTATTTGTAATAGCAAAAGACTGGAAACAACCTGAATGTCCATCAATGTGATTCTGGTTAAATAAAAATGTTAATGAACAATCGAAATACTAGACAGTAATGAAAATGGACCATAGCTACATACAAAAACATGGTGGGGAAAAAGGAGCGGAACCCAAAAGAATATATGATTCTCTTTATATAAAGTCTGTTAAGGTAAAAACTTAACTATATTGTTAGGAATGTTTACATTAGTGGTAAAACTATAAAAAAAAAAGCAAGGAAATAATTGCTGAAAAAAAGATAGTGTTATTTCTAGACAAGAGGGGTCTGTAAGAGGACATTTCAGGGATGCTTCTGGAATGCTAGAAATGTCTTACTTCTTAACCTGGATGGTGGTTACATAAGTATGAGCTTTATAGGTATTCTTTAAACTGTACTTAGATGTTCTGTGTGCTCTTTAATCTCAATGCTGTTCTCTCATGATCTAAAAATATCACAGTCCATCCAAACAGTGGAATACTATAGAGTCATTAAAATGAACAAGACAGTTCTATATGCATGGGCACGGAATGGATGCAGGGAAAAGAAAAACGAACGAACCAAAGGAGAAGTACGATGTGTTTAGTAGGTTACCTTTGGTGTAAAATTTTAAAAAGAACATATACACCTCTGCGCTTGTGCGTGCTTAGACTGTCTCTAGAAAAATACACAAGAATTAGGTACGTGGTGGCGGGGGAACCCGTGGAAGGGGAACTAGGCAGCTGTTTCCATTTTTGTACCTTCTGAGTTTTGCACCATGTGCATTTATTACCTATTCAAAAAATAAAATAATTAAAAAGAATTTTTTTTTGACCTCTCATTCCCTGGAGTCTCCAAGGTTTACTGGTTTCAAACCAATTTATGGCTAATGAGAAAAAGAGCCACAGCAAGTTGGGACCCTCCCCGACCCCTGCTTCCTGCACTGCAGAAGGAGGCGGCCAGGCCTGCGCTCCCCCCTCCCACCCCTCTCCTTTGTCCTCCTTTCCTGCCACCCTCGCCCTGTTCTCTTCCTTCCTTGCCTGAAGTTCTGGCTGCCTCCCTTCCCTCCTTTGACCCTTTCTCCTATTTTGTTTCTCTTTCTCTTCCCCTCCAGTCCTCTCTGCCTTTCCCCCTCTCTGTCCTTCCTGTCCTCTCTGCACTTGGCTTCTCGGTCCTTTTTCTTTCTTCCTTCTGCTTCCTGCCAGGATCCAGCCCTTCCTCAAGCCTTGGAAGGCAGGTGTCATGCTCTAACTCTCCACTTCCAAGCTGTGTGACCTTGAGTTAGTCACTGACCTCTTGGGCCTCGACATCACAGAAGATTGTCTTGGTTATGTGAGATCGTGAGAGTGGAAGCGTCCAGCACAATGCTGGGCACTCGAAATAACTTCCTTCCTTTTTAAGGGGCTGTTAGCCCCATGGTTGTGGATGATCAGACCCTTCCTGCTCTGCTTGGAATTGCGTAGAATCTGGGTCCTACTGTTTCAAAGACTGAATAACAGCAGGTCCTGGGGAGGAGGCCTCTGGTGCACTTCGGGAGGAGGAGAAGTGGGAGGGAGCATGGGGAAGACTTGCTGGTGTGTGAATGGACAGAAAGTGAAAGTCGTTCTGCCCGTTTCCAGAGATTTGGGGACTTGGATCTTTTGGGGGCTTCCGTACTTAGGTCCCTCGGGCTTGGTCTGACTTGGGATGATGGAATTTCTTTTTTTTCCTGCAGTCCCTTAAGACTTAGGCCTCAGGAACGCGTAGCTGACTGGGTCTGCTGCCTGCAGCACAGAGAAGAGCACCACCCTCCCTGCCTAGCAGAGGCTCCACGGTCGCCCCTGGATGCAACCCAGGCTCCTCGCCTGGACACTCAAGGCTCTTAGCTCTCCTGTCCTGTCTTGCTTCTAGCCACAAAGATGGCGGCTCACCGTTCCCTTGTTCTTTCCTACCTCCTTGCCTTTGCTCAGCTGGATTTCTCAGCCAGACATACCCTTTCCCTTGCATGCTTTCCTACCTGTGGTCCTGACCAAATTGATTGTTCCTTAATTAATTAACCTAGCACCTCACTCTTGTGGCTCCATCTCCTCAAAGAACTATACTATTTACATACATATCTGTTTACATGTCTGTTCTCTCTGCAAGCCTGTGAGCTCCTGGAGACCCAGGGCATACCTCATTCATGTTTGTGTCCAGCACATAGAAGACCCTTAATAAAAAGTTAGTGATTAAATGAATTAATTAGTAGATACATAGGCATAGAAACCAACCAAACCAAGACAGGAATGAATGAATGAATGAACGAACGCATGAATGAATGAATGGAGACATCAAGCAGGACCTGGCTCTCGTGGAGTAGACTCACCCCCGCCCCACACACATCCAGTTAGCTGGGACTCTGCCTTCTAGACAGGGAAATGGGGAGCAGGGATAGAGTTGATGTCAAGTTGTCCCAGTTCTCCCCTCCTCTTGGGGAGGGGCCTGGGCAAGGTTCCTAGAGAGTCTCAGGAACTCCTGACCTGGACCCCTAGGGGAGGCCCAAGTTCGGATGTAAAAAAAAATCAGTGAAGATAGAAGTGATCTAATGGTGAACCTAGACCTGTGAATCCTTGGTATTCGCTGCCAGTGAAGAAACATGTGGGGGCCTGGGGTTCCTCTGACAGGAAGGAAGCAGGCTAGTCTTAGTGGGGAGGGGATATAAAGCAAAGGGTCAGACTACATAGGGGAGGAAACCAAATACTCAAGAAGTTCTTCCCAAGCAGAGTAGACTCATTAGAGATTAAAGGATCAAAACATATCTCTATTCATTCCTCTTTCCTCCAGACTAGATCAGCAGCTCTCTGAAGTCGGGGATCTTGTCCAATACTTTTATATTTTCCTGGCACTCAGCAGAGAGCCTTGAACTCAATTAATACTGGTCAGATGCACAGATAAATGGATGGTTGGATGGATGGTAGATGGATGAATGGATGGATGAAAGAATGGATGATTATGTGGATGGATGGATGGATGAGTACCTGAATGAATGAACCAGTGGATGAACAGATTGAAAGCTGTATATACAGTGGATAAACAGATGGAAATATAAAGTGATGGATTAATAATTGATGAATAAGGGTGATATATAAATGTATAGATGGCTAGATGAACAAGTAGACAAACGAGAGAATGGATGATGCAGAAACAGATAAATGAATGAATGGACAGTTAGATAAATTGATAGATAAATGAATTTATGCCTGACTTGATGGGTGGTAGATGGATGGACAAACAGATAAACAAATGGATGGGAAAATAGATGAATGGATGGACAGACAAGAAAGGTGAGCAAGCTAGGAAGACTATGATGTTCAGGTATTGACAGGGGTGGGAAAACAGAAATCTGGGCTGAGAATAGAGCCCCAGGGGTTTGGAAGAAGCAGTGGTACTCAGAGGAGTGAGAGGGGTGGTATAAGAAGCCAGGACCCTCCTTTGGTGGAAGGAAAGCAGACACGAAGGGACTGGGTTTGGGGGAGTGGAAAGCACACTGTGCTGAGGACCCTGCCCCAGAGCCCAGCCCCAGGCTGGGTAGAACCTAGGCTTTGGGGGCCCCCAGCACAGGAAGAGCCAAGCCTGGCAGGATGCTGGATCAGAGCCCTCAGCCAGTCAGGCTGACCCTAGAAGGTGGAGGCCCCAAGAGGCCACCCTACCAGCTCTGACCCCAAGGAAGTGACTGTTGGTGACATGGGGGGGGTCTCAAGAGAAAGAGGCATTTGTGGGGTTAGGGGTCAGAGCCTGAGCAGAGCCCAGGGGCAGCAAAGGCCTCCCTGTGGTAGAGCTAGTCTTATTCTTCCCAGTCTTCCTCCCCACCCAGCCCCCAAGGCCACCCCTCACAGTCCCAGTTTCCTCTGGGCAGGGGGCCTGGCCCCCATGGCCTCCCAGGCCAGCCCCTGGAGCACCACCTGCCCCAGTCGGCCAGAGACTTCCTGTAGCGCAAGAGATTTATGCAAAGGGCTGGGGCGGTGATGTCACCCCAAGGGGACTATCTTCCAGCGGCAGGCCCTTCGATAAAATCAGGAACTTGAGTTGGCCCTGCAATGTCAAGGGAGGGGGCTCACCCAGGGCTCCTGTAGCTCAGGGGGCAGGCCTGAGCCCTGCGCCCACCCAAGTCCGTCCAGCCCCAGGCGGGGCACCCCATCTCAAGGGGCTCCGCACTGGCCCCAACCGAGGCAGGCGACCTGACCGGCTCGGAGCTCGGCTGGATGTTACAGGCGTGCAAAATGGAAGGGTTTCCCCTCGTCCCCACTGTGAGTACTGGGACTCTTCCACAAGCCCAACCCGCGGCCCTCGGACACCCACCCCCCTGCCCACTAGCCCGCCAGCCCCTCGGCTGCCCTCCCAGCTTGCTATCAGTGGGAAGTTGGTGTTTCCTCCTGGGGCTCCTGGCCTGAGACTCAGCGAGGGGGCCATTGGGTCCTCAGAGCACGCCCTGCAGGCCTGAGGGCTGGGCCCGTGGTGGGGCTGTGATCGGTGGGCCCTGAACGGTTATTTATAGATGGGGTTTGGGTGGTAGGCCGGAGCTCCAGGGCAGGGTGCTGGGCCGGGGATGGTGAGGGAGGCAGCAGAGAGGTGGCGGAGGAGGCGATGGGAAGACTAGTGTTGGGAGAAGCTGGTCCTCAGGACAGTAAAGGCTTGAGAGCAGGAGGCAGCAAGCCAGGGGTCTCAGCCCATGGCCTGGGAGCTCCTGGGGACTGAGGCTGCTATAAATCTGGGTCCCCAGTGCCCGGTCTGAGACCTGGCACAGAGGACATGGTTGTTGACTAAAGGGTCTGGGTCTTGGGCCTGCAGGTCCCCAAGACGCTGAGGCAGGGGCTGGGGCTAGGCGGCAGCAAGGAGTGGAGCGGAGACTCGAGCCGCAGTTGGGGTTGGAGCTGGGGCTGGGACCGGGGCTGGGACCGGGGCTGGGACCGGGGCTGGGGTAGACTTGGTCGAGTGTGGGACTGGAGTTAGGACAGGGGCTGAGGTGGGGACAGGGACAGACTGGAGATGGAGAGGCAGGACGCAGGGGATCCCAGGGAGGATAGGGCAGTAGGCTGGGGCAGATCCCCCCGCCTGCTCCTGCTCTGGGAGACAGTTTCAGTCTTAGGTGTCAGACCAGGGACCCTCTGAGAGGACCCCTCTCTTTTTTCCCAGCACATCTCCACTCAGCAAGGGCAGGGAGCCCTGAGGGGAGCAGGGAAGGGCCTGTCAGGACCTGCCTACCTGACGCAGCTTGCCTAGCCTAGAGGCAGCGCCTTCTCCGGCCCACCCCAGCTCGGAGGCACCCCAAGTCTGACATCCCCCTGCTGGGCTGCTCTGCCCAGAAACTGGTGCTGGGCTCCTCAGCCTCCTCGCTGGGCCAGACACACCACCAGCCAGCTAGCTCCCCGGCCTGGCCCTGTCCTACCCTTCCCCCACCTGAGATCAAGAAGGTGAGGGGCAGGCAGGGAGTGACAGAGATGGTCCCAGGAAGAGCCAACTCTGCTTCAAGAAAACCAAAGGCCTAGGGGCTTGGCCACACTGTCTCTGACCCTTGACCTCTCAATCCCTGAACTTCAGATGGAGCTGGGCAGGAGGCACATCTTGGGCTTCCATGCCAAACTCTTCAGCCCCTCTCCCCAGCCCAGGGGACGCTAAGTACTCCTGGGAGTGTGGGCTCCCAGGGCGGCCCTGGCCCCCAACCCAAGCCTTGAGGGCCAGAGTAACTGTTGTGCAATCTTTGGGCACACACTGCGGGGTGGGGAGAGGCCTGATGACTGCTGGGAAGGCTGGGTGTGCATGTCCCTGTGCCTGTGCCAGTTAGTGAGGAGGAGGAGGAGGAGGGAAGAAGGAGGACAGAGAGGAGTGAGGGGGGAGGGGGAGGAGGGAAGGGGGCGGGGAGGAAGGGAGGAAGGGAAGGGAGGATCCCAGGGAGGGCGTCAGAAGGACGATGGATGAGGGAGAGTGAGGGGACCAAGGCTCTGGCCACCTCATGGCCCCTAAAGCCCATCTGGGTGAATGCGGGAACACCCATCAGTGCAAACAGCCACTGGTCATCACGGTATCCCCAAGCATGCGTGGGGCCTGGGCACAGGCTTCGAGAGAGAATGGGCGGTTGGGGTATGGGCTGTGGGCACTGTGGCAGGAGGACAAGCATGTGTGCTGTGAGGATGAGTGTGCAAGCGGAGCATGAGTGATTGTGGAAAGATACAGGCACGAATGTGAGAGTTAACGTGCTTGAAGTCGAATATGGGGATACGTGTGTTAATGTGTGTGCCTCTGCCTGGGCCTAGAGGGTGGGTGTATAATGGAGTGTGTGTGTGACCACAAGCGTGTGTGAATGCGGTGACCTTTAGAGTGAGGGGGAGAGCAAGTGTGAGTGGATGTGCGGGCGTCAGTCCCCTTGCAGGAGTGTGCAGGCGAGTGTGTCATGGGGAGTACGTGTGCGTTTGGGGGCTGGAGGTGCATCATTGTGAATCTGAGACGGGGAGTGTGTGAGGTTGGGACTCAGTCATGCAGGTGTGTGTGCGAGTGTGTGCGAGTGTGTGGCGCCTGTGGGGGGCGGTGGGCCTGGGTGGAGGGAGGCTGTGCTCTCCTCTCAGCCCTGGTCCTATTTTGACCTCTGACCTCCAGGGTTCCCGTCACCCCCTTTCTGCAGGAACCTAGGCTCTTGCTCTCCTGAGGCCCTGGTCCCACTCTGTGGATTCTCCCACTTCCCAGCAGAGAGGGCTGCAGGCCCGATGCGGCCGCTCCGTCTGGGAGGGGGTTGTAGACCCAACATACTGGGGCGCTGTAAGCCCAGCTGGGGTCTCCCCGCCACAGTCCGAGTCCTGACACCCTCCTCTGTCAGCAGGCTTCGGAAGACCTGGTTCCCTATGACACAGATCTGTACCAACGCCCAACGCACGAATTTTACCCCTATCTCAGCAGTGATGGAGAAAGCCACAACGGTGAGTACAGAGCAGGAGGCTGGCCCCACCCCACTTCCCCAGTCTGGCTTGGGCGCCTGAGTGACTCCCGGGGTCTGGGGACAAAAAAGAAATGGTTCCCAGGGCTTCTTTG